ACTGATTCTATTTAGCATTTAAGTCCTAAAGTGGTTATTGGAGGCAACCACAGTAAAGGGAAAATGGCTGTTGCAGGACAGCTGAATATGTGACTGTTAAAATACACATTAAAGTTGTGATTTGGGGCAACAAGTTGCATACACAACATTTACATTTAAAGTGAAATTAAGAGACATTTAAGAAAGTTTAAATTAGGCAAGTTTTCAAATTGTCCCTTTTTTGTAGTTACTATTGCAAGTTATATCAATTTAGACATTTCCAGATGTTTTTTCTAATGCATTATTTGAACAATTTAAACTATAAATCAAAACTGTACGGTACAGGAATATGAGTATAACGTTTAGGCCACATTGACATGATGTAACTACGTCAATACTGCACAGTTTTAGATGCTCTTGTAGTGTATGAAGTGCACTTTGCCCACTTAAGTGTAAGTACATTTGAACAAGTCTGTTTTACATGCAGGTGGCAGACACAACGAGGAGTGGTGACAATCCCTAAGAGTGTGACGGAGTCCCGGATCAAAGAGAACATTCAGGTGGAGTAACATCTCACTCACAGCTGTTCCAAACATGAGGCTATTATTTTACACATGGCCTTCTTACTGAGATTCTCTGAATTTAAGATTTAGGCTACGCTTTTGCCCTTAAGTAGCTAAAAGCTCATTTAACTGAAGAAGCTGTGCATGTGTGTACGGCATTTCATGCACAAGGGTAGCTTGGAATGGCAAAGCAACTCTTGTGGGGTGGTTGGTGTCGATAACGTTTCTTTCTTTTTTTTTATGTTGTCAGGTGTTTGACTTCACCCTTGAAGCGGAGGAAATGAAAAATATCACAGCCCTGAACAAAGGCTGGCGCTACATTGTACCAATGATCCAAGTAAGTGGCTTTATGTACTGCATGGTAAGTCTTTAGTTCAACACAAATACATGTATCCCTTATGTGTGAAAATCATCACAATACAGTGCAGGTCAATATGAAGCAGGATGGTTTCTTCCTCCAGAGTATCACTAGTATTAGAATGACTTTATAAAAGAATGAACAAACCACATCACATTTCTCGTCAAGCAAACATAATACTAGACAAACCAGGATATTTGAATGATGGTTAATTTAATTCAACTCATAAAGCTTCTGCTGCTGCTCAAAGCTAGAATCCGGGAACATTAAAGAGGCCTTTAAAGATGACAACAGTATCATAGCTACAAAATAATGAACTTACTCTACTCTGATTATACGCTTATAATAATATAATAATGGAAAAATAACTCATTGATAGTATGAGCCCAAAGTGACAGAGTAATAAGTGATGTTACTTTAATATTAACTATAATTCTTCAATGAGTAATTAGTACTTTTATTGGACTACAGTTATAGAACCCTTCTTACCCTGGAGATAATATATGTTTATTCTGGTAAATCTAAAAATCATTTAAATACTGGTACGATCTCCTTCTGACTAATCAAATCTCATTTAGGTTGTCGGGATATAAGCATTAGATATATAAATGTAAGCCCTCAAAGTCTCTTCTCAAGCTGTTTGGTAAAAAGCAATATCTGTACACATGTGTCTGTAACGATCAAACTCTGCACTGGGTTTGAAAACTGCCAGGATGAACGTCACTGTACGAGAGGGAAATGTCTGTTTGTTTCTGATGTTGCAGGTGGAAGAGAAGCGTGTTCCCCGGGATGCAGGTCATCCTCACTACCCCTTCAACGACCCCTACTGAACACCCCCACTGCAACCTGAATATGTGCCTTCTACACCCACACCACCCCCCACATCACTACTAAATGTTCCTGCAGTTTGTCTTTAGATCATGTCACATCCTGCTCTATCATTACAACATTTCAAGTTATCGTCAGTGATGAGTTCTGGAGAATCTGGTATGACTGTGTACGTGTTATTTTTAAATAAACATTTTGTTACTTCACTTCCAGGCTTCTTTATTTAACCAGTGGATTATTTATCAATGGAAGGAATTGTTCCACAGGTTTTGTTTTGTTTCAATCTAAATCGAGAATGAATAATACTAAACAAGTACATTTCATTTAGGATACTGTATTGTTCCACGATGCCATAGGAACACCTTCTCTAACTTCAGAGTACCAAAGATATTATTAAGGTCTGGAGTCAAGCTAAAGGTCCCATGTCATGGCCATTTCTACTGATCATAATTCCATTGTTGAGGTTTACTAGAATAGATTTACATTGTTCAATGTTCCAAACTCACATTGGTTTCTCATACAGCATCTCTGTATAGTATGTGTATTCACTCTCTGTCCTAAACGGCTTGTTGGAGCTCCTGCCCCCCCCCCTCCCTGTGAGCCCAGTGTGCTCTGATTGGTCGGGACGTTGCGAGGCTCGTTGCGAGGCTCGTTGCGAGGCTCGTTGCGAGGCTCGTTGCGAGGCTCGTTGCTGCTCGCCGCGGCTGTGAGCTGCGGCGAGGAGCGGACAAGCTTCCGGGTCGGCGATACAGCGAAACACAGCTAAACTCATCCTGAGCACACACAAACACTCACAGCCGAAGTAAAAACAATGAGTGTGGCTTGATATTGAGTAAGAAAAAGGTTTATAACGCTGTGAGAATGGGTCTGCGGAGAGCATTTCTCCGCCATCCCAACTCGTCTATTACCAGCATTCAGGGAGCTCTATGCAAGTCAATGGGGACTCCCTGTTAGTTAGCCAAAGGATCCCGGTGTGTGAGGTGCTCCGGATTGGTCCATTTGGGCCAATCCGGTCATTTGTTGTTGATTTGGGTATTCACACGTCACAGAACCCAGGAAGCAAACAATTGAAAAAGAGAAATCTCCAACGAGGTGTTCTGGGGCAGCATAGACAGGTCTGCAGATACACGCTTTACAACATCAGGAGGATACGTCCCCATCTGACCCAGAAAGCGACGCAGCTTCTGGCCCAGGCTCTCGTCATCTCACGCCTAGACTACTGCAACTCCCTCCTGGCTGGTCTACCTGCGTTTTTATTTTTATTTAACCTTTATTTAACCAGATAAAAACATTGAGATAAAATCTCATTTTCAATGCTGACCTGGCCAAGAAGGCAGCAACGTTACACATAACACAAACATATAAAATACAGAGAACATAACTAAGAAAACAAAAGAGGAAAAAGCAGTCACTACATTGTGCACATTAGGACAGTAAGAAAAGTACACTACTTGTTACTGCAAGAGCAGCTGGTGGTGAGGACTTCAGACAACTTCAATTTAAAACATGCTATAGAGACAAGTGCCCTCAGTTTAAGGCGTGATTGAAGGTCATTCCAAGACCAAGGACCATAATAAGAAAGACTCCTTTTTCCAGCCTCAGTCCGCACAGCAGGTACCTGGAACCGTATCCAGGCACTGGATCTGAGGTTGTAAGAGTCACAAACTGGGGCAAATCTGACACATATGTACAGTGGAAGCTTACCTAAAATGGCTTTATACATTAATAAAAACCAGTGCTGCATACTAAGTGAGGACCATCCAGTTAGGCTATACAGTGTGCAATGATGAGTCCTATAGGGTGCATTTGATATATAACGCAGTGCAGCATGGTACAGTGGGTCAAGTTTGGCCAAAACAGTGGGACAGGCAAATCTATAGGTGGTATCACCGTAGTCCAGCTGGGACAGGAATAAGCCAGAGACCAACCTTTTACGGGATGAAATTGAAAAACAACATTTAAGTCTGAAAAGGAAGCCAAGAGTGAATTTCAATTTCTTTGTTAAAACTTCAATATGGTGTTTAAAGTTCAGATTACTGTCCAACCAAAAGGCATGTGCCATCCGTCCTCTGCAGCTCATCCAGAATGCAGCGGCTCGTCTGGTCTTCAACCTTCCAAAATGTTCCCACACCACACCGCTCCTCCGCTCACTTCACTGGCTTCCAGTAACTGCTAGAATCCACTTCAAGACACTGGTACTTGCGTACCATGCTGTGAATGGATCTGGCCCTTCCTACATCCAGGACATGGTTAAACCATACACCCCAGCACGTGCACTCCGCTCTGCATCAGCCAAACGGCTCGCTGCCCCCTCACTGCGAGGGGGACCCAAGTTCCCATCAGCAAAAACACGTGGGTTTGCTATCCTGGCTCCAAAATGGTGGAATGAGCTCCCCATTGACATCAGGACAGCAGATAGCTTACACATCTTCCGGCGCAGACTGAAAACTCATCTCTTTCGACTCCGCTTCGAGCGATAGAAGCACTAACAAATAATGACTAACAAAGCACTTATATACTAACAAAGGACTGGCTTATCTAAAGCCAGTTGAGTAGCACTTGAAATGTTTTAGCTCTATGAAACCTGATGTACTTGATTCTGTTTTCTTCAAGTTTGTATCTTGTTGGTCGAATGCACTTATTGTAAGTCGCTTTGGATAAAAGCGTCAGCTAAATGCAATGTAATGTCTTTTCTGTGTTAGTTTTACTCCCTACAGGGTGTCCTTTGAGGGTTTGTGACTCTGCAGACCGTTTACATGCAGAAAAAGCTACATAACACACAAGGGGACGGGTAATAACCGGAAAAGCATGACATGGGACCTTTAACTTTTTTACAGTTAATACTTTTGTGTTGTATCATTTAAATGCTTCATTTCTTCTTTGGGGATTTATCTTAAAGGGGTCCTATTATGCCCATTTTCAGGTTCATATTTGTATTTTGAGCTCTTTATTGTTCTCAAACGGCCTGTGCTGCAGCACCTATCACGTACTGTGTTTGAGAGCTAGCCAATAGAAGCGTAAGTGTTGATGTCACTATGTTACGGAAGAACACAAAGGAGTCCAATATAGGCGTTTCAGGCGTGCGGACAAAGGGCATCGAGCCTTTGCAGACCACTGACATGCACACAAACCTATATAAGACACTTAAGAAAAAGGAAACCCCAAAAGGCACAACAGAATGAAGGTCATAGAAGTGAAACACTGTTAAATCATTATTTCTTCTTAAAGCGAAAAGTGGCAGAATTGATGATTTACACTGTATAACCATCAGGGACGTTGTCATCTCTTTTTAATATAAAAAATAAAAATAATTTACAAAACAGCTTCATTCATACACAGAGGCCACACATTGCATGATTTCAAATTCACACATTTAAAACTGTATGACGTGATTTTACCAAAGCATTACATTGTTCTTGGCATGTTCTCTGACTGATGAACAACAAATACTCTACATCCTTCCCATATTAGAAAAATATGTTTTAATTATGTATACAAAGAGTAATCCAGGAGGTCAGCAGCAGATGGACGGTCACCTCCTGCTCTGTGCCTTCAGCCTCAGTCTGTGGCCTCTGTGCTGACGGATGGACTGTGGAGGGATGAAGAATTGATTCTTTTAATGCAATTTGGAACTAAAAATGCAATAAATTAAAAAAAATATTATGTTTTCTGTTCATTTCATGTTCTTTATCTCATCGGAAATGTTGAAGCTTCATTCACAACACTGATATTCCAGTTCTAAGTCGCTTCTTTTTCTGCACAGTTGCAGATAAGGATTAGGCTACACTTGTATTTATAGTATATTATTTGTAGAGTTTGATTTAAGAGGTGGCTGGCTACTTATGATTGTTTCTGCATTGGGTGATCCATTAAAGCCAGAGCAACTTAAAGGAAACATTATTGTAAAAAAAGGATGTAATAATTTCCCAAATATATACAAAAATATATAAATATATATGTTGTTTTTCTTGCATGCCTCCAAAAAAATATGTATATGTTATTTTAGGGTGATATCATAAAATATGAGTAGACATTCAAAGTGTAATTGGAAACCACTCTAGAGGCATTGAAATACATTGAAAAAGGACATTCCGTGTTGGAATAATAATGACAGATTTTCTCATGCAATGAATATCAGATCAGATACATCACAGAGGAAATGCAGGAACGCTGTGAGCCCGGAATACTGCGCTGAGCTAGCAACATGCATTTACTTTGTTGAAACAAGTCAATCAACCATCAGGATTATTCAACTATACACCAGTATGTGTGTGTGTGTGTGTGTGTGTGTGTGTGTGTGTGTGTGTGTGTGTGTGTGTGTGTGTGTGTGTGTGTGTGTGTGTGTGTGTGTGTGTGTGTGTGTGTGTGTGTGTGTGTGTGTGTGTGTGTGTGTGTGTGTGTGTGTGTGTGTGTGTGTGTGTGTGTGTGTGTGTGTGTGTGTGTGTGTGTGTGTGTGTGTGTGTGTGTATCTCACCTCCTTGGTGTCCTCCAGCGTGGTGTATCTGTAGTCGGGGGGGCCCAGGCTCTGCAGCAGGCTGCAGTGGAGGTGTCGGCTGCTATGGATGAAACGCTGCGTCATGGCCAGCTGCTGCTTCAGCATTTCATTCAGCACAAACACAGCTGGGTTGAAGGTGCTCAGAGCTGAGAGGGGACACACACATTAACAATGAAATATTCAGTAAGACGCAGAAAAGCACATTAACTGGGTTCAAATGAATATTAGACTCCCAATATCACTGTGTCACATTGAATTATTGCATGCAAGGGGTCATTTAGCTGTAGCAAAAGGGGGAAATGTTGTCTTGTAAAGGATCGTGCCATTAACGGTACCACTAGTGTGGGACGAAAATAAGTAAATGATTTGTCTTCAATATTATACACTGGCTATTAACACCGATTTGACAAATACATTGTACACACAAGTACAATAACTTGAAACAGTTTAGTGTAGCATTGCATGATTTTATTTCAGAAACATTTAGCAGGCGTGGTTTTTAAATGTTTCTGACACACTGCCTGTTAGAGCCAGTATTTTTGATTTGATAAGAAAGGCCACCTAATTGTGATGTCTGTAGTCAACGCACTATAAAGGACTACAATTCCCACGGCGCCTGCGCTAAAGCCACAGTGATGGGCAACCTGTTGAGAGACGCCGTCGAGGAACAGTTTGTAACCGTACTACACGTACACATACACATCGTACAAGTACCCTTTAAGTTATGAAGTTATATAAGCATTATTAAGAAAGAAAGAATACCTCAGTTGTTTATTATTTTATTTGAGTTTTTGCTTATTTCTTTTGAATATTGTAAAGGCCTATTTTCTTTGTTGCATGTGCAAAAGTTTGTTATTTTATTTTGAGCAAACGCATCGCAACATCATCTAAACCATCGGAGGCCAAGCAACTCTTCAAACTGTGAGTCATTTAAAGGAAAGAAACTGAAGAAGAACTGTCTGTTTAAGGCGTCTAGTGGCTTGATGGAAAGACAAGGAAGGAAGCCACGACACTGCCTATTCATCTGTAAGGGAGACTGTGACCGAGTCACTTTATCAGCCAGTCAGTCAGTACAGAAGATTTATAAAACCACTGAAGCACAAAGGCATTCTTTCAGCTTGAGAGAGAGTGGGCTGGTGTGATCCCATAAAGCAGCTGGCAAAGCTTCTCTTAGCTCGTGACTGACAACATGCTTTACTCACTTTATTGCATTTCTAATGATATAACATTATAGTTGTCTCTCCTCAGCTGAACTATACCTGATGTTCTACACCTTACAGCCTGCTCTCCGATATTTCTTTATAGGGCTGGGCCACTCCCTAGAGGTGAGGTATATTGCCTCATAAGTTAACTTATCAGTTGGCAAAATCGATCAAATGTGGTACATTATTCTTGATAATTGAATATACTTAATAAACAGCCTACATCACAACTTTCCATAGGGTTTCATTTATTGAACGGTGTATTTCAAGCTTGTTATGCAATTAAAAAATGTTATCAACTAAGATTTGTTAGAAAACGTTTTTGACTTTAATTGACTGAATTTATTTGAAAAGTGGGCCTATTGCCACTTGAATACTAATGTGCAATATATGTGGACATATATATTTAAGAAGTACAATATAAGAAAAGCAGGTGTTTCAGGTGTGGGCCATATTCCAATTCCATTATACTTTCAGAATTTGCTGAGGGACAATTCAAAATGGACCATCAGCCGCAGTTGGGCCGTAGTTTGGACACCGCTGCTCACCTGTAGATGGCGTAACCGCACCAAATGTCAGTGGCCCTACCACAGAGCTCTGAGTATGACATGTTGCATCGCCCTCATCCTTAAGGCTTTATCATAGTAACCATCTGCGTTCCTCTTTCTCTCAACATGACAAAAGTCTGAGCCTGGATGTCACATCTGGAAATGATTCTATGAGTGTTCTTGTTGTGTTTTTTGTATTATGTTGGATTGGGTCTTACTCTTACCTTCCACCATTTCTGCACTGAGAGTATGAGCCACCACTGGGGAGGGGTCCATGTATGACAGACCCACTGCAGGACCCAAAGCAGCCCAACCTACAGGGGGAGAGCCAGAGACAAGATATTATAAAATGATTGTTTTCATTTTATTGCAAATGAATGACCGAGAAACATCTGGTGACCCATTTTCTATCTCTGATTCAAATGGCTTTCTCTCCTGTGCGTTTGACTCAATAACAAGTGAAACGTTTTCTTTTCTAGCTGGATTATTTTGAAAGCTACTTTTTTTGATCAGGTTTTTAAACAGATTCATTTCTTTTTTTGTTTTGTCAGGATCTATTTTGTGTTTGTTGTTGTAGAGGCTGAAGAGAAGTATTCATGTTTTACGGGTTAGTTTTGATATCTCCATGCACCATTTTTCACAGATGTCAACTTAGAAAAACAATTTTTTTCCACCTGTTGCACAGATTAAACAAATTAAATTGAAGAACTTTTATTGAAGATCAACAGTTTTGAAATCACAAACACAGGAGAGAAAACAATGAACCAGTCTTAGAGCACTTCAGTGCTACTGTGAAGAACTGTCACCGTGGTAGTGATGGTAAGTCACCCTACCACATCTTAAATATTGAAGTGTAAAAGACTAACCTGTGTGAGCCAGAGGATCAGGCTGAGTCTGTACGGCCACCTCTCTCAGAACCTTCCTGGTTGAAGCCCCCCTCCTCCCCTGGTGGGAGGAGTTTCGGCTGCTGTGTGACTCGGAGGATCTGCTGCTGCGTCTCTGACTGCCATCAGATGTCCGTGAGCTGCAGGAGCGCCTTGTGCCTGAGAAAGAGCTGGAGTCATCTTCTCCTGTCCTTCCACGGGACAAATCTGAATCTGAAGCCTCCTCTCTGATCACCGAGCCATCCTCCTCTTCCTCTGCGTCTCCCTGCAGGTGCTCTGAAACCTGGCTGTGATCCGTCCTGCTCACACTCTCAAAGTCACTCTGATAGTCCTCCTCCTCCTCTTTCTTCTCCCTCTCTTTGAATGGTGGTCGTTGTTGATGTCTGTTAGAGGATCCAGGATCAGTGGAGCTGTGTTTGACTTCTCTCTGTTTAGACTGCAGGGAGAAAGAAAACAATCAGCCTGAGGAGGCCTTCAGAGGATCCACGAGATCCCAATATATTAAGCAACGTTTTACTATCATTCTTTACACAGTTTACCAACTAGTCGATGCATAAGAACGGCTCATTTCCTACTAACTGTTTTCCTTCCTAATTGTATTGTGTGTCTCTGCTGTGACATGTCTCCATGCTTTAATGTTCTCAAAGCTCTTTATTCTCTCATACTGGCTGTGCTGCAGCACCTCTTTTCACCCTCTGTCTGAAACCAGAGACGAGTCTGCTCTGATTCGTTAGCTGGCTGGCTCTGTTATGATTGGTCAAGCGCTTAGAGATGTGTTGGAAATGTCCATTTACAGTGGACCCCTAGACCATTTACATGCACACAAACGTATATAACACACTACAGGAAAGGTCAAACCCAAAACATACCAGAATAGGTCCTCTTTAACGTAACACATAATGTGTTACTTTACTTTACAGCACTCTGTTACCTTCTGTTGTTACCCACCTTCTTCTCTGGGGTTTCCTCAGTAAATCCAAGGGTAGCAGGGACAAGGTCGTCTAATGTCATCACATTGATCTTGAAGTCTGCAATAACACAAGATCATACCAGAAGTTTATACACAATTATATCAATTTTATTTAAAGGTGGGGTAGGTCATTCACTTCAGAAACACTTTTTGTTATATTCCATGGAATGCTCTTAACATCCCGATAGCAATGAATACATTAAATGCTTTGAAAATAAATACATACAAATGTTTCATCTGTGGAAGCCGTGGCGCTGTAAAAAGCCTTTATTTAATGCACCTGGTAAGATAAACCTAGAAATTGAATGTAATGCAGAGCTAAAGAATGGTGCCTATACAGTATGTACCTTGTTGTCCATCTAGGATGCATGAGGTAAGGAGTAAAGAATAAAACATGATTAATATACAAAAACACACACTAAGCCTTTAGACATCAATTCATCCAGAAATGAGTCAGCATTTTAACAAGTCCGGTTCTGTTGTCTGGAAGTTAATGATTTCTTAACTAAATAAGGTTAACAGAAGCTTAACAGATTATCATGTTTTATTAGATGACATCAAATATGTCAGTAATTACTCTACCTGTAAATGTCCTAAAAACAGCAGTTGCTAACAAGTGGCTAAATGAGAAAACGTCATGACAGAACATTAGCCACCTTTAGCTGATGTAGTTCCTTATAGCCTAACGTTAGCTTTTTACTTCTGGCGATGGCATTTACGCTTCAAAAATCACAAAGTGGTGGTAATATGTGGTAATATGTGGAGATTATCTTGCTGAAAAAAACCTGAAACCTGAAGTATCATTTGTTTCTGAAAAATGTTGTTGGTTTATAGTCTCTTAATGGTCTTGGGCTTGGCCATTTGTCAGATATTGTTTTAACCAATGAACCCTCTAGAATCCTCAGATCTTCTACTAATGGTCTTTTAATTAAACCTAAAGTGAAAACAAAGAGTGTTCATACTTTTAAGAGCTGACTAAAGACCCATCTTTCTAATTTGGCTCTAAATGAAATTGTATTTATTATAATTTATTTGTATTTGTTCTCTTTTTTTTATTTTAGTTGCTTTCAGTCCTGTGTTTATATCAGTGGCGAGCCGTCAGGGCCCTCTCTGAGGGCCTAAGATATTCTAAAAAATAATATTTTAAAACATTAATTTTTTTTTGTTATATTTGTCATTAGTTTTATCAAAATAACTTGATTTAATTGTATTTAAAATAACATTTCCAACTAAATAAATCCTTTGAATCTGCCTATTCAGTTTCTGTTGGAATGTGAAGGGTTAAATGAAAGAAGCTCCTTTGGCCGTCTCTGCGAGGTGAAGATAGGAGCTGATTGGTGGTCCTGCTGTAAGTTCACAGAGGGCCAGCTAGGGTAACTCAACGAGAGAGTAATGTCAAATGACAGTACAATTGACCAATCATATCTTCCCTCTAAATGGGTGGGCTTTATTATTGCAGACTTTATGACAAGTTCCGCCCGCTGTGAAGTTTATGCATGTGTTATAACAACGGGTCAAGCTAGGCGGAAGTAGCTGATTAGCATAAGTTCGTTCATGATGGCTCACGTCAGTTACAACGATAAATTGGAGTAGCAAAGGATCAGCTGCATGACCCCGCCATCAAGTTCTTCATCCAAAAGGACAGGAGGATGGACTTTGTGTTTAAAGTGGACCTATCATGCTATATTTAAATGATATATTGTAGGACCATACCTATATAAAGTATATTTATACGTTTCTGTTTTCAAAATACCAAACAGATCATGCATTTTAGCCATGCCTCATTTCGCTCTATGTGCTGTTTGCTGTCTACGGGTCTGATTCTGTGAGCTGCAGCAGACCACGCCCCCCTGCAGGAGAGGGGAGCCGTGCTCTGATCAAGTCAAGAGGGGGAGAAAAAAAGATCTCCGTCTTCCGTGTTTTATTATAGCCTATTATTATATAGAGTCGTTATTCATTTGTTTTAAAGCTCAATAAATAACAAAGAAGACCTTTGACCGGCACTTTTCTAATTTTGTCCGGAAGATTTAAACTTTAATGGACATCTTGACCGGCGAAAGAAACTGAAACTGAAACTCTGCCGCACGGTCCCCTCGTTCCTTGGAAGAGGCGGAGAGGTGGGTGTTTGTCATCTGCTGGTGGACTAACCAGAGAGAATTACAGTGCTTGCCTCGACGGGGAGGGATTGCATTGAATTAAAGCAGCGGGAGCAAACGCTTGCCTCGGGGAGGGAGAAAAAAAGCCACAGCGGAGAATAAACAGAAGGGTAACCATGGTAACTATGGGCGGGAAGTCTTCTTCGCTGCTTTTGTGGCAGACGACAGCGCCACTTACAGGCCTGGCATATGTACTACAGCGTCTCCAGCGCTTTCGAGCGGCAATGGCCGGCCGTGGCCCAACCCCACATTCCCCTGATAGGTGGAGAGTTGGCCCAATAGCCGTAGCGCCACCATCCTGACGTCAGGACAGTGTTCAAATCTGGATCAGTTTTGATCAGATCCGTTGCAGCCCCTTTTTTAGAGATTTGGGTATGGAGGAAAATAGAGAGGGTTGTGTTTTCTGACACTTTTTTCTTTTAATTTTTTTTTTTTTTTAAATTAAAAGAATATATATATATAGCACCAAATTGCAACTGAAGTAATCTATCTACGGTCACTTTTCACATGTGCTCTTTTATTAAATAAACTAAACGCCTATGTTATTTATCCAATGTATGTGGATGTTTCAGTGTCTACACACACACACACACACACACACACACACACACACACACACACACACACACACACACACACACACACACACACACACACACACACACACACACACACACACACACACACACACACACACACACACACACACACACACACACACACACACACACACACACACACACACACACACACACACACACACACACACACACACACACACACACACACACACACACACACACACACACACACACACACACACACACACCATAAACCTGGCTGCATTATCCTCTTTCAAAATGATTTGACCGCCGCGAGCAGGGGCTGCAATATACCCTTGCTGAGGAAAGGAGGAGAACAACAAAGTGTAAAAAAGTCAAACAAACCTGCATTATTGCCCCGAGCTCTGCTGTCTGCCCGTTTGTGTGTCCCCCCAGTTTCAAATTAGTTTATTATTATTTTTTAACCTCAGGACGTTATCGATAAAAAAAAGAAATTCAAACGCTTCTGGGACGCTTCTGAGCCGTAACGCGCCGCGTGTGGTGGAATAGCTCCCATTGACTAGAGTGGCCGTGATAGCCGCGGCACAGCCGTAACGCGGCCGTAACGCGCCGCAGACGGACCCGGTGGAATCTAGGGGTGAGTCATTTTCAATGTGGGCCGCCGTGCCGACTTAATTCATTTGTAATTGTTACTTGGCTGTGGGTGCCCTGTCATGATAGGTGTTTCTATAAATGGTGTTGTTTTGTGTGGTAGAGGGTCGCTGTCATTGATGCGTTTTGCACCCTGGGCCGCTGTTTTGATATTCCGCTGAAGTATACGCTGTGACGTAATAACTCTTCTTTTTTTTTCTCGAGGGAAGGGGGGGGGGTCAGAGGGCCTAGGTATAAAAGTCACGGCTCGCCACTGGTTTGTATAAAATACAAAAGTCATGCGTTTCTTGTTATTTATTATCTTGGAAAGTATTTTTGGTTTGTGTTACCTTTTGTGTATGAAAAGTGCTTAATAAATCAAGTTTGATTTGATAAACGTGATCTTATTTTCTGCAATGTACCGACATCAAAATGGAATAATCTGGTTTCTATTTGTGGAGGGAATCTGGTTCGGCCTACAGAAACATCACGGCCCCGCTCTACAGACTCCTGATCTCAGTATCTGCAACATAAGGGACTTCTCTCACCCTCAGAGGAAACTGCACTCATCTCGCTGTGAGGGTCCTCAGAGAACAGCTCCTCCAGTGAGAGCACCTCACCCCGGCCCGATATGGAGGAGAGGGAGCGTGGTGGACTCCCCCCTCTGTGAGGTGAGGGGGAGAGCAGGGAGGGGCTGAACTGGGCCTGAGCCTGACCGGTGAACCGGAAAGGAGAACCGCGGCGAGGAGGGGAGGGAGGTTCTGGGAGGGAGGAGGATGAGGGAGAGACATATGGGGGGGGAGAAGGGGAGCGGACCCTCTGACTGCTTCTGCTCAACATCTGTAAGAGAGGAAAACATCAAAGTGTTTTAAACAGAATAAGCTGTGTCTGTACATTAGTGTCACTTCTGTTTGTTACACATGATAAAGACACATTTGTTTGTGAGAAACAAAGACGTTTTTGATGAATCAGAAATCGTTTGAGCTGTCCTTGAACATATTTGATTCACAATTATGATATCTATTGTCCTATCATTGTATAGAAGCTGCCAGAGGCTGTATAAAGGCACAAAGGAACCTATAGAAGTAGTACATCTGTATTTCACTCTGAAAGAGCGGTCATTTGCTTCTCATTCTCTCCCTGGTAGTCGTTGATTATGTGTATGAACTATTCAAATATTTAAAGGATTGCATGATGGAAGAGGTTCAGTTATATTTAATGTTATATAAACTTTTACAGCAGCTCCATTTTCTTAAAGAGGACATTCTGCAAATGTTTGGTTCATATTTGTATTTTGTTTGTTGTTTACATGCTTTAATGTTCAAAAAGCTCTTTATTGTTCTCATACTGCCTGTGCTGCAGCACCTCTTTTCACCCTCTGTCTGAAACCAGAGCCCAGTCTGCTCTGATTGGTTAGCTGGCCGGCTCTGTTGTGATTGGTCAACCGCTTAGAGATTAACTTTGGGAGTTAATCCACTTAATGCACAAACACGATATAACACACTACAGGAAAGGGAAGAATAAATTAAATATGTGATTTATCTGTCATCTAGGCCAGGTTTCAATTATTATGCTTCCAAGTTCTTTGCGTTAACAAGTCAATTCATTCCTAAATGTTCCTGAATATTCGGATTATCTGATGAATGTAATGTTTGTTTATTTACTGGACCCTGGCTGCCTGTCATTTGGCAAAGGTGGTCCCTGGGCTATTATACCCCCTGAAGATTACAATATAAACCATGCTTATCTAGGACATGTAAAGCTGTAGATAGAGGGAGTGGACACCAAGCAGAAAGTACCTTGTCTGCAGTTCTTAAAGAAGAGGCTCTGACTGGGGCCAGGAAGCTGTGGTCTTCTGAATCTAAGGATTCTCCGAGCAGCTTCCTCATGTCCTCTTCATCACTCTCCAGACTCACTCCTCTCACTGGCTTCCTGTCCAAACCTGCTGCAGGACCTGCAAACTCAGCAGCTCTAGATCTGGACCTCACACCAACATCAGGACTGCCAGCAGCTCCAGCTGTTTTATTCTTGAGTAAGTGTTTCCCCCCCCTGCTCTGCTCACTGCTGGACTGTGCTGAGAGTCTCACAGGGGCCTCCTGGGACGGAGACGCTGCTCCCATGTTGGAGGTCACACTCTCAGCGGGGCCATGATCCTGAACCTGCATGCGGCTGCGGACGCGGCTCTCGATTTGAGCCAGTTTACTCAAAGCAGCAGCCTGGGAGCCGCGCTGAGAAGATGACACACTCCTGGTGGATGAATGACAATAAAAACACAGCAATTGAGTTTCAGCAGCAGAGGAAAATATCAGAACAGGACATATTTTGAGCAGAATCATTGGATTGGCTGGTAGAAAACAACAGCACCATTTATCTATGTATATAACACAGAACCAGAGACAGAATGTCACCAAGTGCATGTACTTAAGTACTGCATGTATTTAGACTTTATTTAAGTGTTTTTCTTTCATGCCACTTTTTACTTGGACTCAACTACATCTCAGAAGGAAACGTTGTGATTTACTCCACTACATTTATCTGACAACTTAAAGTCGTTGTATTACGTAGTTACGTATTACTGTACAAATCAAGATTTAATAAGATAAGATATAAAGAGAGTTACTATAACGACTCTACAAAACTTTTTTCACTTTTTTTTTCATGTAAAAAGATAGTTTAATTGTTCTTACTTCTGAAATGTGAAGATTTGCTAAATGATGCTTCTTTCCTGATTATTTTGTATCATTTTGAGGTAGGTACTGTTGGTTTGATAATATTCCAAATGTAGCTTCACCTTAACAAACTACAAAAGTAAAATCCTGCTTTTACGTTAATGCATGAGTAAAAAGTATCTAATGATATGATATGTAATCATTTATCAGTCACATTGGACATACATCAAGTAAATGTTCCTGATTATACTTACATAATGTATGTAACATTTGTAATGAAGGACTTTTACTTGTAACCAAGTATCTTTTACAGTGAGGTAGTAGTGCTTTTACTTTCCACCCCTAGTGCAGACGTACCTGTGTTCAGGCACCTGCTGCATATGGCGACTGCGGACAGGAGACTGGCTGCTGTGGATGGCAGGTGGAGGAGCCTTCTTCAAGAACCTGCTCCCTCCTCCACCCACAGGAATCTGAGGTCTGAGATCCTGGCAGAGGAAAGGCTGATGTTAAATTGGACTTTAAAAAAAACATTGCATTCTCTTCCTGAGCAATCCAGCATCAGTTAGAAATACATTCTGAAGTTGTTTACCTGGGTAGGAGGACCCTCTCCCTGTGATGCAGCAGCAGAGCCCAGCAGGGTGTCAACCCCAGGCTCAGGAGCTGAGCTCACCGAGGACAGGTCGCTGACATCCGACAATAAAGCGTGTGTGTGGGGGGAAGAGGATCTGGCTTTAACCGATCCACCCACAGCATCCTGGAGAGAAGAAGAAGAATTTGCATCTGTTAAAACATAACCTGGATTAACACCACAGGTCTCTGAAACCTTTGAAAGATGTAGACTCACTGAGTGTAGCGACCCCGCAGACCCCCGCACAGACCCCGCGGCCCCTCCGCCGCTCGTCTTAGCGGACAGCAGGGCTTGAGCTCGGTCCAGAGCGGAGCTTCGACCGCCTCGCTTCCACATCTTTAAACCGACGCTCTTTCTAATGCTGCCTCTCTAACTGTAACATAATAACTGTGATAGAAATGTGACACTTTATTTTAACAGCAGCCCGCCATGTTTTGGGCTGTTTCATCGAGCTTTAGAGAGTAGCGTTAGCTTGCTACGCTAACTATATACGATGCACTTTGAATTACACATGTGCTTCATATAACTCCTTTCGAGGCATTTCAAAGCATGCTAGAATTTCGCATGAATTAAGTTACATAAAACAGTTGATAATTTTGCCAACTTCTGGTCTTATAGTGCCTACTTTTTGCATAGCGACCACTGAGGCGTCGCTTGTCTCCATGGAACGGCTGCCTTCTTCTTCTTCTTCTTCATATAAACTGGTCATGTCAGTTCCTCATCCGGGTACCAGCGCCACCAACTGTTCATTACGTGACCCAAGCACAGGAATGGTTTAACAAATCTGCAGTGAATCACGGTATGTTGAAGAATTAGTATTTTGTAAGGTAATTGGAATCAGAATCAGAAAAACGTTATTGATCCATATGGGACATTGGGTTGCTCTACACTGTAGAATATAAATATAGAGATGATAGGGAATGATATAATGTATACATTGAACAAATACATATGTAAAGAATGGGACTTCAATATAAAAAACAGTATAACAATAATGCTGAAAAATGTACACAACAAATAGGAATGCCATAGTAAATTATCGCACAAAGTGATTGTAGGCTAATGTTTAAGAGGTCCTTGTTTTGTTTTGGGGGGTTTCCACCCCCAATAGTTTTTTGTGAATGGTCTGCAAAGGCCTCCCACCCATATCTAAAACGCCTCCATTGGACTCCTGTTTTTTCCGGTAACATAGTGACATCACTCTGTAACACTTGGGCTTCTATTGGCTAGCCCACCGACACATTGTATGTGATAGGCTTAGGGGCGGGAGATCTCTGCGGTTAACCAATCACAACAGAGCCGCCCAGCTAACCGATGAAGCGTAGCTTCAAAAGCGTTGCTCGCTGCAAAAGTTGAGCAATGTTCAACTTTTTAAGCTTCGGCGGAAGCATCAGCCAATCGAATCATATGCCAGTACAAGCTCTAGCCAATCAAACCGCGTGCTTGTGTGTTCGGGGCGGGAGATTCATGTGATTGGTTGTTGGTCGAGTTTCAGCCCCCCCCCGCCGGCAAGCTTAAACGCACGCCGCTGTGTGGACGGGCCGTAAGAGAGTCTGGCGCTCTGAAGGAAGAGTTAATGAGTTTATTAGCCACAGGCAGGAATGAATTCCTGTGGAGCTCTCTGGTGTGTTTTGGTCTATATCATGATATCATCAGTGTTTTATGTCCGTTCTTTATTAGTCATATTCTTGTTGGGGGTGTTTGGATACTGAGATTACTTTGAATCACATGTAACAGATGAAACAAATGTACATAATGTTTTATGGTCAAAGATTAGTCAAGTCATTCCTGCTTATTTTAAACCAAATTACCTCAGGACGAGTAATCATCTATGTCATGATCCAGTTTTACCAGAGTTGTAATGTTATTATAATTTGACAATGGTTGATTGAGCTGAACATCATAACTTTTTCAGACAATCATTTTGGAAGGCAAGGAATAAGCAAGGGTTTACTCCAAACCATATGATCAATTAATGGACATGTGTACAATACCGCTGTTTAAAGGTGGGCACCCAAGATAAGTGTCACCACATTTATATCTGATCAAATGTAATCTAGTGTTGCAGAGTTATGGTGTTAAAATATGAACAGGAGTGTTTTTTCACATCATTATGAGGCTTCAGGGCAGTTTACATGTGATCTTTCAGATATTAAATGTCATCACTTCATAATTCTATCCGTGTGAAATGTCATAATCATTCTATGGATTCATAATTTATGAAAAACATTTGAAAGCTTGATCTTTTACAACCTGATCAGTTTTAGTGCACTTGCGAAACATTTAAAAATTCCCTCAAGGCATTCCTGAGATACCGCAAACAATAGAAGCATAAAAATATGTTTTAAAAAAAAGAAGAAGAAATGTGTAACAGCAGTTGAGGAAAATGATATTGTGCAGATTAAATAAAACCATTGCATTATCAATTCTCTGACAATAAGACATCACAACTTTATAATTGTTAGGATCACAAGCACCACAAGATTATCTCTGTTTCCAATGTTTTCCTCTGCCCCCACTGAGCCCTAGCATTAAAGCCAGACATCCCCCCCAGTGGGAAACTCTCAGATCCGGCTAATGCTGTTTGCATCCTGCAGAGCTGCATTGTGACTGCCTGAGTGCTCTGTGTCTGCACGTGTATTATAAAATGAACTTGTTTACCTGTACATCAACAAGCTAAAAGGTTGTGAAGGCTGTTTGTATTTCTCTCCCTGAGCCAGTCATCAGGCAATTCCGTCTAAATGCTTTCATCACAAGCCTTGTTCCACCATTATTAAGTTTATGTTGTTCATGTCCTTTTATTCCTCTGCACATTTACTTTGTCCACATTAAATACACAGCATCGGCCTGTAGGCTATGGACCATCGTGCACCTTTCATTGTTTCAGGCAGTTAAACAACATGTTGGACATTTCTGCTCCATGTTTCCTCTTTTTTAAATCAGCCTAACTCTCCATTTTGAATATACTTGCAACTTAAAGGAAAATCGTCCAAACGGCAGCAGACTTCAGATGATGGTTAATGGTCCGACCCTCAACATGTCCATGTGCCACTTGTGAGTTTTTCTCAAAAGCCGTTGCCATGACAACGTATCCCTCGCCGTTAAACAAAATATTGCTATTACTCCAATGAAAATTGTCATAAACTGGTCAAACTTCACATACGTGCTAACAGTCCAGCCCTGATTCTGAGAAAGTTTAGCTTGATCTTAAAGGCACAAAGCTGATTCCATAATAAGAGAGATGAAATCAATTTGCAAAAGATGTATTATTTTTCCTTCTCAAATAAACGTATACATTTTATTTTTTAGTAACTTCATTTCAGATTTCAACTACAGGTGTTAAAATGGCGACTACATCTGGCTTCAAAGCATGTGGCTTCCAAGCTACGTTCATAAAAACATAGTAGAAAAACTGTTAAATGACAGTGGTTAGGATCAACACAACAGAATCATGTTAATGACAGTCAGGGCAAGACAAAACAAACCATATACAAAATATACTAATATATGCGTTTAATCAAGCTAAAGTCTAGATCAGGGGTGGGGAACCTTTTTCCTCTCAAGGTCCATTTCAATTTTTTCAACATCCTCCGAGGGCCGTACAAATTATTGACCTCTGCTTAAAAATACTAAAATCACAGCCCATTCATTTGGCCTTTCTTTCATGCTGTGCAAAGAAAAAGCAGCCTCTTAATCGAGATATCTTACCATGCATGCACGTGTACGGTGTGGCATGACCACCAAAACAGAAAGATATGGACACAAGATGTGTGCAAATGTATTTAGTTTCCTATCCATGTGAACATGATTTAAGTGGGGGGGGGACCTAACCTCCTCTAGGGGGGTCCGGGGGGCATGCTCCCCCAAGAAGATTTGTTTTTAAATGTTGAAGTTAAAAGCATCAATCTGGTGCACTTTGAGAGCAACATGAAGAGATCTATGGATACATCTCTCAACACCCATATGAAACAGAACTGTAACCAGATTTATTTTTCTTTATGGATATTTTACAAATCACTCCCCTTTTAAACTGTATTCTTGTTTATTAATTAACAACTTTTTTTTACTGTCATATAGTATTTTATACCTGTTTTCTTTATTCTCTTATTTTTTTATAACTATAATGATCATCATGTGCCTTTACCTCACTGGTTGTAGAAAAAGCTTCTTATATTCGTTAGCATAGCTAGCTAACCAGATGCTAATAACAACAAAGTTATTGACTGTATGATCAGTATGACAGATGAACAGATCGCCACTGGGCTTTCAGCTAAAGACACATCCACGCAAAAACTGCGGCATGTGTACAGCTCCTTATGTGTACTGCAATTTGTGAAGTGGGAGCGGCGTGCTGGTGCTCTCCGTCAGCACTACACCCCTGTTAGACGAGACATATACCACGTGATGACACGTTAGGCTTATGTTGTGTTCAAGGACCCTGACCTTGGCCAGGAAAAATAGGCACTCGCTTGTTTTATTTTTTTGCGGTCTAGATTTCTTCAATTTTTTTCTTTTTTGCGTGTGTTTATAAATTACCTCGAGGGCCGTACCAAATGGTCTCGCCGTCCGTATACGGCCCGGAGGCTGGAGGTTCCCCACCCCTGGTCTAGATTATCAGGCTAAATCAGATTCCACATAAAGACACGGTTCGGCATATAACCTACTCTCTTTGTTCACCCTCACTGCTCTCGTAGGAAAGCCGCGAAAGGCAAAGTAACCCCTAGACAGAGTTGGGTGTAACGCGTTACTTTTATAATTCAGTAATCACACTACAGTTACTAACATTGCCCCGACACGCGTTACTTCGTTACTTTTATAAAATCAGTCATAATCACACTGACAGACAAGAAGGGTTTCCGCCGCAGGTTTATATGTACGTAATCTGCACGACTTGCGCGTCCAAATCTCCACGTGCAGTGCTGCATAAACATGGCTGAGTCAGCGATAACTTTCGAGGGGTTGAGGTATGCCCATTATTTTGAGTTCGTCCGAAGAATAGACAAGAATGTGACGGTGAGGTGCAAACTGTGTCCAGGCCAGAAGCTGTTATCCACTGCTGTAAACACCACGTCAAACCTCAACAAACACCTGCAAAGAACACATGCTAAGGTGAAGCTAATAGCTAAGGACCCCCGAACCCAGAGTGAGGATGTTGTGAGTGCGCCGCCGCCAACTCCGAAGCAGCAAAAATTACCGGTAACCAAAGCAGAGATGGACAGGCTTGTAGCATCCTTCATAGTAGAGAACATGTTGCCCATTTGCACAGTGGAATCACCATCGCATCGTTCAGAGATATACTGCGCAAAATACAGATAGCAGGAGACAGGACAGCCATGGTCAGAGCTATCTGGATCAGTCTTATGCGACAATGGAAACTGAACTAAAGAGAACATTTGAAACTTTAGCAGTCTGCGTGATCTGCCTGTAGGGAGGGGCGGGCCGGCCCTGCGAGTAAAGTAACGAGTAAAGTAACGAGTAAAGTAACGAGTTACTTTATGTAGAGAGTAACGAAGTAGTGTAATAGGGAAGATTACGCAAATGAGCCGCTGACTTCACTTCTTCTTCTTCTGCTTTGGGAAGAAGAAAAACTTCCCGCGTATACTGCGACGCCCACCCACTCGCTGTACATTAGGCGTCTGTTGTTTACCTTCCGACCTCAGACATGATGGAGATGGA